GCACTATATCATCTGGACGAATGGGTGATCCAGGTAAGCCAGGAGTTAAATGGTTCAATAGATTCTTAAAAGATTATGGTTTAATTCCTAAATACTTACGAAAAATGGGTGCAGTTTATGGTGTTGTAGTACATGAACCTGAGAATATGGCCCAGGCATATACCATTGCTGGAGAATGTCTACGCCACAACCCCGACAACCATACTTCTCCAGTGCAAAACTACGTTGTAGTCAATTATCGGAAAAAAGGACAGACTCCAGAGCAAGCAAGACCGTTCCGTCTCTATGATGATAACTAATCGCGCTTCTTCACTTTTATTGCAGAGCAATGGCTTTCGCCTACCACGTCTACAGTAAAATCTTCATCATCATTAGACGATTCAGACTCAGACCCAGATGAGGATGAGGACTCAGATGCGGTATCATTAGAAGATGCGGAACAGACCTGTCATTAGATGAGCTGGTTGCAAAATTAAGCGTGGTTGAGAATATCAAAAAAATAAATGATATATGCGTCTAAATTAATTATCTGAACATTAGTTATTTCCGATATATACTAATTAGCAATGCCTAATTTACTTAATCTTCTTCCACCAGAATTAATACCATTCATAACGAAGTATCTTCCAATCCAAGATCTTAAAAATTGCTGTAGTTTAAATGATATATGGAAAACCGAAGTGATTAGAGAAATTCGCAAAAGATTAATAGTGGATTGTACATTCGTTAATAGAAAAACAACTGTCAAAGCGCTAATTGACCCTAAATCCAAGTACGGTAGTATCAGTAAAGCACTTGCCCAAAAAATGGGTTTATATATTACTAGAATGTATGGATCTAAATACCCAGCAGTAGAAGACCTTGGTATTGGCGCAACAAATGCTGGCAAGAAAGTAATGAGGAGGGGTTGGGTTGATAGAGAAAAAGTTTCTGTCACTTTGCCAAATATTTTTGAATTGGGAAAATTAAAATCCTTACCTCGATATTTAAACGAAACATTTACTAATTTCGTAGTTATTGACAAACCTGAATATGACTTAGTTTTAGGAAGTTCATGGCTAACAGGTCGAGGAATTGACATTGATTTCTATGGATATAAAATATGCAGGAATGAGCTTTGGGAAAAAAAGGGAAAATGTTATTGGAGAGAAGATAGTATAGAAATATTACCTCGTTCATTACATATATTCTATGAAATGTTATTCCCCAAATTAATCGGAATAGATAGAGATGGAGATATAATTTTAACTTGTTTTTCTGATAAAAATATGAAGAATAGCCTGATTGATCTAAGTGAATATTACGATTCAGAATACTCTGAAACGGAGTCTGAATCTAGCGATTATTCAGATGATGAATTCTCCGATTCTGATCTACCTCCACTTGTTCCAGATCCATTAAGGGTATCTCGAAGCGTTATCTTTACCGGTGGACCTATCATTTACATTCTAAAATAATAGTATACAACTATTTAATCGCATATAAAAATAATTTTCAATGTTATCATAATAAGTATTTCTTATCTGAAAATGCGTATTAATCTTCTCTGTTTTACGAATAAATAAGAGGCATCTATTGTTGTTGTATAAAAACGATTAAGCTTATTTTTGACATCGAATGGGGGCTACCTATCAGAGAAATTATGCAAATATTATGATTGGTAAAGGTAACGGATCGCCCATAGAAACGTTTAATTAATGTATGATATTGAAGGAAAATCGTCCGAGATTGCCCATAGAGAATAAATTACTAATTTATCGATTGTAGTGTTTTGCATCTTTAACAGAGTGATACATTGAAACTAATAGTAATATAAAACAATGTGTATTTGCCATAAAGAATCATTATAAACTGTTATCATGTCTCTTTCTAACCTCCAAATCTTCGCACTGAATATTTTAAAAGAAACCAACCATACAATTGTCCAAAATATCGATGTTGCTGAACTAGCACCGTGCTCGGAATGTGATAAAAAAATTTTAACAGTTAGCTATGAACCATTTACAATCCTTGCATGTGGACACACATACCATAGATATTGTATCGAGAAAAAAATTTCACTTACAGATTCAAATATATGTCCTATTCCTGGTTGTAATAAATCTGTCGAGCCCATGGTCTCTGAACGAAGGTTTTCTCAACAATCATCTCAGTCAAGTACTTCATCGATAGTTAGGAGGATGAGTAATCTCAATACAGAAGTAATCCAAGAAGATGAGGAAATGGAGGATGCGGATGATGATGCGGATGGATCGGTAGATACTCTAATCGAAAACTCTCCCAATCTTAGTAGTAAAAAGCGGGCTAGTGATTCCACCGAAAAATCGTCCAGTAAAAAAGCTAAGAAACAGGTTAAGTACGAGGATTCTCGCATATTAAAAAGACTTATCCAGGAATTGATCACAGATATCCCACGAATTTCTGAAGTTAAGGAAAGGGAAGCACTCCAAAGAGAATCCAC